TCTCCAGGCTAGGAGCCAAGACAGCGTTCCTTTGTTCCCAGCTCCCTGCCTGTGAGGCTGGCACCGGAGCTGCGGCCCCGCCCCCCGGGGCAGGAGCTCAGACAGGTTATCCCCAGGTAACTTTCGGCTCTCCTTCCGGACAAAAGGGCAGGCTGGGCGTTTGGTGGCCTCCGTCCAGGGCCACGGAGAGCTCATATTCTGCTGAAATCAGTGGGTCAGGCAGGCCCAGAAATGCACACACACACCCCTCATGGGCATATTCTGGGCCCGTGGCATGGCTAACAGGCTTGATGAGACAGGCTTGGTGACACGGGGAGGCTGCGCACCTCCTGCCCCCTGTCCCTCGGGCGGGCAAGGCGGTGACCGGATGACTAGTTGGCCTGGATCGATCACAGCGGGCGTCATCTGAGCCACAGGCACCTTCATCCAAGTTGCTCAAAGTGTTTTCCGAGCAAACAGTTGTTTCATAACACCCGTGAGAAGTAGGTGGGGTGACAAAGCATTCTTTGTCCCTGTCTTACGGATGGGGAAATTGAAAAGCTTGCCCAGCCAGGTGGCAAGGCCAAGAAGGGAAAGAGGGAGCTCTCCTGCCCAGGGCTCTGGGGTGCAGAGGGCCGGGATCTCAGCCTGGCTCTCGAGCCAGGACGTGTCCTGTCACTAATTCCTGGGGGCTTCTGGGGTGGGCGGGGGGAGGCCCATCGGAGAAGGCCAGAGGTGGAGGAGGCTCTGGCTTCTCCCTCAGCACCGAGGGGCCTCCGGGAACTCACTGCCTGCCCTGTGGTCTGAGGCGTTGACACTGGCCATTGGTGACCCGGGAGGTGTCAGTTGTCTGGAAGTCACTGGAATCTCAGAGGTGGTCAGCAGATACCTTTTGAGCATCCTGTGCTGGCCCAGGGATTGTTCCGGACACCGGGGGTACAGCAGTGAGCAAAGCACCCAGGGCCCCTGGTCTGTGGATCTCGCAGGAGACAGATAATCAACACAGAACATTAAGAAGAAGTCATTTTGGAGAGTGCCATGTGCCACGAGGAAAGCACAGATAGACATGTGCTAGAGACTGGCTGGAGGGGAGGCTGGGGAAGAGGGGCAACCTTAGGAGGAATCAGAGGAGGAGTCTACAGGGGCTAATCCCACAGGAGGAGGGGAGCCAGCCCTGGACAGCATTCCAGAGGGAGGGGAGAGCTGTGCAGTGACCCCGAGAGGGCAGTGAGGGCGGCTTGTCCCAAGGTTAAGGAGAAGGACGCAGCTCCTGGATGGTGGCCAGGGGGGGACGCGGGGACCTGGTCATGGGCCACGGGGCCAGGTGTGATTCTGGATGCAAGGGGAGGTGGTGGATGAGTCAGGACCTCTTGGAGAGGTAGCACCTGACACCTTCTTCTGGATGTGCGGCGCAAAGGAGAGGGTAACGGAGGATGACTTCTAGGCGTTTGCTTGAGCTGGAGCACAGGACTGTGCATTAAGGTGGGAGACTGAGATAGAGTGTGTAGAGGGGAGACACAAAGAGGCTGGTCTTGGACGTGGGGAGTTTGAGATGCCTGCTTCCGGGTGCCTACACATGGGGTGTGGGCGCCAGGGTTTCTGAAGCTCTCCCTCTCAGACCTCGGAGAAGGATGGTGGGCTCCATTGAAGGATGGTGGGTTCTGTCGAGGTGTGTCCTGAATTCACCTGAGCCTCCCAGTGCTCAAACCTAATCCTTATCAAGGAGGATCAGACTCCTGCTCTTTGAGCTGGAGCAGGTCTCTGTCACTGTTGCTTTATGACATGGGGAAGAACAAGCCAGGTGTATAGTCGTCCCCCTTATTCATGAGGGATACGTTCCAGGACCCCCAGTGGGTGCCTGAAACTGCAGACAGTACTCAACCCTATATATACACCATTTTCCCCCTGCACATATGTACGATACAGTTTAATTTATAAGTTAGGCACAGTAAGAGATGAACGACAATAACTAATAATAAGATAGAACAACTCTAGCAATATACTCTAATAAAAGTTAAGCAAATGTGGTCCCTCTCTCAAGATACCTTATTGTACTGCACTCACCCTTCTTCTTATGATGACGTGAGATGGTAAAATGCCTGCATGGTGAGATGGAGTGAGGGGAATAACCTCGGTGTTGTGACCTGGCATTAGGTTACTCTTGACCCTCTGGCTTATACATATCAGAAGGATCATCTGCTTCCCGACTGTGGTTGACCAAAGGTAACTGAAACCAGCAGAGAGCAAAAGCACCGATAAGGGGGGGACTTCTGTCTGTGAGGTGGTGAACAGCCTTCAGTGGACCCAACTTGCTTGTCCCTTCCCTTCCACAGCCAAATCCTTGGTCATTTATCCTTGGGCGCCATAATTAGAGTGATCTTATTAGCTGTGGGTGAGGAAGGACCTAAGCCTTGCCTGTCTTTTGGTTGATAAAATGGAATGGTGGGAGTTAGCAGTTTCTTCTAAGAAGGGGCATTTGAAGAGCTTGGGCCCATGTGGTCACTGACCAGAGAGGGGTCCCCTAAGCAGGAGGGCCAGGATTCTTTGTGGCCCCTGACTTGGCATGAAGCTTTGAAGAACATGTTAATGTGTACTCCATAGTATAAATTGAAAGCTACAAAAAGGATTGCATCAGAGAAAACAGCCTAAGCCCCCTGTTGGACACACCTACTATATCTCACTGCAGGGTCAACTCAGAGCCATTAGTGCAATGGAAATTCCAATTCTGGGTCTCCAAGGAGTTATTATTATTATTTTCATTAATTTTTAAAAAAGTAGCCTCCATGCCCAGTGTGGAGCCCTACGCAGGGGCTTGAACTCATGACCCTGAGATCAAGACCTGAGCTGAGATCAAGAGTCCTATGCTTAACTCACTGAGCCACCCAGGTGTGCCCCTATTTTTATTTTTTTAAGTAAGATCTATGCCCAATGTGGGGCCTGAACTCACGACCTGAGAGCAAGAGTCGCACAGTCCACCGACTGAATCAGCTGGGCATCCCTCCAAGGAATTATTTTGGAGCTATGCATGTATTAGGATATTTACATCTATGGGAATTTGCTGGTATCTTATTGTAAAACGGTGGCTGGTTTACATCTTGGATTTTACAAGGAAGTTTCGGATATACTGAGAACAGTATCTTGTGAGGTTGTCTTTCCATGTCCCAGAAATAGATTCAGGGATATCAGTTCTCATACCCCAAGAACTCCTTGGGTGAAGACTCAGAAGCTCCACTCATTCGGATCCACTTTTCAGGGGACAGAACCACCGTCGCTTGTGTGGGGCTTTCAAGCTCACCAAGTGCTTTCATGGCCCTTTGCTCATTCGATTCTTTCCATGACTCACAGCATTCTTGGCAGTCAGTGCAGATGCAGCAACTAAGAGAGGTTAAGTCCTTTGTCCAAAGTCGCACAGCAAAGGGAGATCTGAGAATTAGTCCCAGTTCTGCAGCCTCTCGCACTTTCCCAAGTCCCCGTCATTGCACCTTTGGTGGCGGGGGCCAGGGTGGCTCTGGGCACCTGGACTGATGTGACTGAGAGTTTGGTAAGCCTAGTCTGGGCGGTGCTTAAAATTCCCTGAGCTGGCTCTTAGGAACTAGTTCTGCTCCTAGAGGGCTGTGTTGCAACCAGACCAATGGATGAGAGGGTTGACACAGATGGCCATTACTTCACCAATGTGAGTCAAGATCATTTGTCACCTCAGGAAGCACGCGGAGCTGCGACCTTCAGCAGGGAGGCACGCTGCTCCAGAGCCAAGCCCATGGTGTAGCCTGGCACCTTTCCCGTGTGGCAGGGAGAAGGGGAGCTTCTGCAAGTGAGGATGCACCAGGCAGCCAGGCCCAGGAGCCCAGAGCACTGGGGAACTTGGTCATACCTGACTCAGCCCCTCTTTGGAGAAAGGAACCAAATACCATGTGGGGGTTGTGCCCACAAGCTGGGGGACGGGTGCCAGTACGCAGGAGCCGTTGACAGTCGCTGGCTGACTGCCATCCCTGGCTGAGGCCTTTTAGATACTGTGACAGCGGGACTGGAGGCCCAGAAGCTCCTGACCCTCTCTTGTCACCTGAGGAAATCAGGCCAACTGTGAGCTAGCAGAATGTCCTCCCAGAGACAATCTCTCTTCCTAGTTTAGCAGGTGGCACTTGCTTTTGTTTTTTAATGAGGGAGTCCAGAACTTGTCCATTTACACTGCTGTCCATCAGAGTGCTGTGCTTCAGAGGAAGACGCTCTCAGGGGTGGGGGACCAGGCCCGGGGGTTGAAGCCTGGACATTGTTGCCTGTGCTCTGGGCAGTCCATGCCTGTGTTTGATGAGCGAGGACAGTGCCTTGTCTCACCGGGCCTTCCGTCTTACATTGGTAACATCGGCCTCCATCATGCCTTCCTTTGGGGCTTTCTTCCTCAGGGCAGCAGCACTGAAATGTGCTTTGTAGTTCATTACTCAGGTCTCAGCTCAGGTGTCCCTCCCTGAGAGAGGCCGATCTTGATGTTCCCCTGGGCGCTGATCACGACCAGAAACTACGTGTTTGTTTGCTTGCTTGCTTGCTTGCTTCTGATGCCCCCTCTCACTCAAATGTAAGCTCCATGACGGACGGGACCATGCCTGGTTCAGCTCGCCATCACACCCTCAGCACCTGGCAGAGAGCCTGATGCTAGGGACACGCAATGTCTATCCTTTGAATGAATGAAGGAAGGAAGGAATGCAATCAAGTTGGTGACACGGAGGTGAGCACCAGGAGGGGCAGGTCCATACAAGCAGATGCTCCCAGGCGCCATCGCCAGCCTGGGGCAGCCTGTGAGCTGCTGGGCCCCTGCGGGCTCCTCCTGGGCTCCGCGGTCACTATCTGATGGATGAGTGGGTCGTGCAGATGAGTCAACAGCGGCGGACCAGGAGGTCAGGCGTACTTCAGCCTCAGAAACTGCACGTGTCCAGAGGATGGAGGAGCCCAGGAATGTGTTTTTTGTTGATGTCAACCCTGCTGCAATAGACCACACCTGCTTCTTGACCCAGGAACGTGGGAAAGAGAAAGGCACGGCTTGTTTTGGAGCGGCTGTAGAGCTGGTAATAGAAGAATGCCCTCCTTCTGATTCAGAGCGGGGAGGTCCTCTGGTACCCTGCCACCGCCTGAGGACCGCAGGGTAAGTCACTCCATGGCTCCTTGCCCTTCCCCATCAACGTCCTGGCAAGTGGCTTGTTCCGACAAGTACTCGCTTTTGGGATGGAACTCTCTTTTGTCCAAAACCTTCCTTTGAATTAAAGCTGTACAAAGAACCTTTCGAAGAGGAAAATAATTGGGTTGGGAAGAGGTGACTGTGTCACATTTGGACACTCGAGTCCTTAGCTCCTGCCCCGACACTTTCTGTCCTTTGCTTCTCTGGTGCCCACAGCACTGCATGCCTTTTGGCTCCCAGCCCAGGGTGGCATCCGTGGCTTCCTCCTCCTCGGGAGTCAGTCACATTCCCTGGAATCTTCTTCCTTTCCTCTCCCCTGCTCCCGGTTATCGGGCTAAGAGGACGTGGCAATTGAAACAGCAGGCTTCCAGAGCCCAGAGTCAAACCCTGCCCAGAGACCCTGACTTCACTGCCAAAACTCTTCAGGCACAGAAAGCAAGACTCCGGAGAAGCACAGCCTCCGGGGCAACAATGGCGGGACTTCCTGAAGGGCTAGGCTTAGCTCTGGGGCATTCGAGTGGGACCAGGTGACACGCTTCCCCTCCGCCCCCCGCCCCAGTCTTCTCCCTTGCCCCAGCACTGCTGGTGGGGAGGTGTGACCTACCCTTCTCAGGAGTGGGAGGGGCTGTCTTGCTAACACAGGACCAAGCACTGGTATTACATGGGCCATGTCATTCATCCCTCACAGCGCTCCTGTGCGGTTGGTGCTGTCATTACCTTGTAATTTGTCCTGGAATGTGAGCCCGGGGTGGTGGGACCCATGTCTGTACAGCGCCTGCACCATGCTATGCAGAGAGGGGCATTTCATGGATGGGACCCACAGTGTGGACCCAACACCCACTCACACACCCTCCACCTTTTGTAGGAATCCTGTTCCCAGCTAGTGCTGGTTTAAAAGCCCGTGGCTGTGGGCTATCCACTTTGGATTCAACCTACATACCAAAGCTTTTGTAAATCCCCACTTGGTCAAATGAGCAGTGGTATTTATGCCTTGATTCTTTAAAATACTGGATATGTTTATTTCTTCTTGCCTCTTGTTCTTTCAAGCTTGAAATTTCTCAGCACATCAAAGTCTTCAGAATGCCCTCAAACTTCTGTCTCCACAGGCATTTTTACTTGGCTCTGCATGGTGGGAGACGCTTCTCCTTTAGGAGGTTGAAGTTTGTTTTTGGCTCTTGAGTTGGGTGGTGTTTGTAAGAACAGATACCAAGACAGCAGACTTTTTCTCAGGTGAGCAGCAATTTATGTTACGTTTTCATGGATTTCAATTATTCCAAGGAGGGGTGGCCAACGTTACACGGTGTTTGATGCTCAGTGGTTTTATCTGCGGAAACCTGCAGTTTTATGGCTGTGAAACATCTTAGTAAAATAATTCAGTGTTGCCACACCCAAGAGGACTGTTTTCCCCATGGGCAGTTGGTGTACAATAAGTGTATGTACATACCACATGGGGAGAGATGACCGTATCACACTCAGAATTAGTTTGTCTTTTTTATTAAAGATTTTATTTATTTATTTATTTAGAGCATGTGCAAAGGGGGGGAGGGGCAGAGGCAGAGGGAGAGAGAGAATCTCCAGCAGACTCCCCGTTGAGCACAGAGCCTGACTCGGGGCTCGATCTCATGACCCCTGAGACCCTGACCTGAGCCGAAACTAAGAGTCGGAGGCTTACCTGACTGAACCACCCAGGCACCCCTAGTTAGTCTTTCTAAAGATTCTCTTCCCTGGTCATTTAAAAAATATCACCTAATTACCTAGATAACCATTTTTCATACCGGAGAACAAAACCTAGTTCTTAACTTCTTGCCCCCCTTTGTCCCATCTTATGGCATTGCCTTTGCCCGCATGCCCCCGTGTCACCTTCCGCAGGGCCAGCCCGTTCGCAGGCACCCTGGCCACCCCGCGCTGGAGGGGCGCCCACCCCTCACCCCCCTGAAGCGCTCTCACGTCCTGAGGAAATGTACCGTGTGACCCTGCGGGACCCTTGCTCTTTCTTCTCTGCATAGTTAACTGTGCTAACCCGGGAGTCGTCTGCACTCCCTCACCGGCCTCTCCTCCCCAGCGCCACTGACTACACTCCTGCTCACATTACGTCTGGCGCGCTTCGCACTTGACACTTGTCTCCACACTCGCGTTTCCAGGTGCATGATGGACGCCTCCCCAGGACTGTCCCCCGGATACCTCAGATTGAAGAGGGTAGGAATGATCTCACCATCTTCCTCTGTAAGTGCGCTCATCTTGCAGGATTGCCGATGTCAGGTTGGGGCCCTCCAGTCCATCCAGAGGCCTGCGACAGGAAACCTGGTCTCATCTGGGACTCTGCCTAACCTCCGAGTTCTATGGCCCACTAGGCCAAGCTTACCCGTCTCCCGAGTCAGCGCCCCTTACCAGCTCAACGCCCCAGTCTGGGCCCACCTCTCTCCCGTCTGGACGATGCAATGGCTGATCTATTAGTCTCCTTGCTCACATCTCTTCTCCCTTGAAACTCCAGTCCAGATCAACGAGAGTTGAATCTGACGATGTGCCCCTCTGTAGAAATGCCTCCCTGACTCCTGATTAGTTGGGAGTTACGCCTGAGCTTTCAGCAGGGCATGCAAAGCTGGCCCCATTGCTTGGGCCCCATTTCTTGCCACTCTGGGATCTAGAAGTACTGAGCAACTTCTGTCCCTGGCATTGGCATGGTGGTCATGCGTGCTGCCTTGATAGGTATGGGTCCCTTTGCCAGGGACACCTCCTGACTTCTCATCTACCTGACAAACTCCTATTCGTCCTGCAAAATCCTCACCCAGTGTCACCACAGCTTCCTCCCGAGACAGAGTCTTCCATGAGACAGACTCGGTGGCGTGCAGACCTCTCTCGTTTTCCCCATTACTCTGTGGTCATGACTGTTTTTCCGTGGCTCTCCTCTTCCTCAGGCAGGAACTGCCTCTGTACAACCCACTTTCCAGCACACGCTTTCCACTCTCGATATACGTGCTGAGCTGAGACCTCAAATGTTCTAGGCAAGTACCAAGAAGCCAAAGTCTTTGGTTGTGGTCCTTAGGCCTCATCGCAGCTAATGATGTTGTCAAAGAGAAAAATCTGACAGAGACCCAAGAGACATACAGAGCTCTCCTCCCCTTTCCTGGGTGGCTGACCGCTCTCACATTTCCTTTCCCGGGCAGAAGAGCTGAGCTTGATTTGGCTCTGTCATTTACTGACCCTGAACCCCCCAGAGCTTCAGTTTGCTGAAGGAAAGGAGGTTCCGATAGGATAATGCAGCTGAGAGCGTTAAGTGAACGGTGGGGGCCTTGGGGTTCTCTTCATGCCTGTCAGCACCTGTCCTCTCTCTGGGCGACTCTTGCGAGTGTGACGTGGGCCCCCTGTGCAGTGCTCAAGAGCTGTTGAGACAGGCCCACACGCGGTCCAGGAGTCGGGATGTGGTCTGAGTCTGCAATGGGGAAGGGCCGCAGCAGCTGTGTTTGTTTATTGGGGTGATGGCTGAGCAAGATAATAGCACTCTTTGGAGATGTGTCTATGGGAGGATATGTGATGGAACCACAAAGTTGAGCCCACAAAGGGGGCTCCATTTTGGCTCCGTTCGTTTGTCAGCGACTGCTGGGAGGGAGTGGGTGGTAATGGGAGTTGGGGGTTGGGGGGTGGGGTGGGGTGGCAGGTGGGGGTTGGGTGGGGCCACTGTAGAGCAGGCAGGCCACCCTCCTGTGCTGCTTCAGGTGCAGGCAGCCATCACACACCCTGGGAAGCCTGGGCACCGGTCATGCTGTTAGAACCAGCCAGCAGATGAGAAGGCATGGCACCTGGGTGTGCAGCCCCGAGCCGAGCAGCATCTGCCAGAAGTGCACATCAGCGGGCTTGGGCCGGGCCCTGCGGCTGGCCTCCGCGGTGTCTGTCGGCGTGCTGAATAACACCTGAATGGACTTTATCCCGAAGCCAGTGTGTGTGACTCCTGTGATGAGCTAACCAGGTGACTCATTGCTTACACTTCCTGAGTCCTCAACCTTCTTGTTTTTTTTTTTTTTCCCAGGAAGATCCCTATAAACAGGTCATAAAATATGCCACATGTGGTGTGCCAAATGCCTCTGCAGGTACTTGACTCCATTCTGCACGTTCAGGTGGCTCCCAGGTGGCAGTCACCTCCCGCTGACTCCTCATTTAGTGGGGCTCCCTGGTGGCTGTGGCCTCTCTCCCTGACTCAGCTCTGGCCACAGGACAGACTTTGTTCTTTTGTTCATCCCTATACACCTTTACTTGCTCACGCCTGCCCTGGATGTTACTGAGCACCTACTAAGCCAGACGCTCTGCTCAGCCCAGGTGTGGAAACCTAACTGAGGCGCAGTCCCCGCCTTCCAGAGCTTGGGAGAAACCAACCACAGGGAGTGAGCTAAAGGCGGTGAAAGAACAGATCCTGGGTGGTCAGTACAGAGTTGCTCAGCCCCTTTCACCGAGAAAACGCTGTGGCATCTGGTCTGTCATCAATAAGTAATAAGATACTTTTTATACTTATACTCAGCACCATTGAGCATCTTCCAGGACAGGTACTCTCTAGATGTGAAACTCTGGGTGCCATTATTATAACCAAAAGCGCCTAATGACCACACATACTAATGCAAACATAATAATCCTAGTTTTTTGGTTACACCATGGTTCAGTGAGAGATTTTTGTAGACTGGCCGTGGTGTGCCAAAATACCTTTCTTTTTAAAATACCTTTTGGGTAGCCCAGTGAAATAGGAACAAAGGTGAGGTACAGGAATAAAGGTGACGTGCAGGATGGGAACCTCTCCCAGGTGCACCTCACAATGCGCCTCACCTGGGTAAACACACATTTACATATCAATGTATGGATTACAGACTTCCTTTTCTCAGGCCTAGGAGGTGCCCTGTTACACACTGCAGGGGGACCCACAGCCAGGAGTTCTCAAATCCCGTGTAACACGAGAACCCAGGACTCGGTCTTCCAAGCCCCAGGGGCCAGTCCTACGTAGCGATTTCTATCTGCTTCCCCTTAAAGGAAGGGATTCTGCTTTGTAACTCACCCTACCTTCAAATGTAGGCCTGGCCTCCAGTCTCAGAAGCTTCGCTGGCTTCTGCATGAGCCGGTCAGATTTTGAAATTACCTCTGGAGCCAGTCATTATAAAAAGCCTGGTACTCAGAGGGGAAGAAAGGTAGCTTTCATAGTCACTGATGAGCTCACCAGGTATGGATGGAACTTTTCAAACAGGCCAAATTAAACAGCAGGCCTTGAGCTCGGGGCCTCACGGTGCTGCTGTGAGGAGCAGGGGGGAAGAGTATCAGATGTATGAAGTCCAGGTGACAGGTAACCGGCTCCCTGCCGCTGAGTCACTGTGTGTGATGCGCAGTGGGAAGCGGTGTTGGCGGGGGAGGGGGCAAAGCCACGCCCCTCTCACCTGCCCACAGCGGGGCCAGCAGCTTAACCCCAGACTGTTCCCGCAGGACAGCCGTTGGCTGCTTCGAGTCCGTGGAAGTTGATATAAATCAGTGCAATTTCCGCCGCAGCAGTAATTAGCCCGCGGGAAGCTCGCTGGAACGGGTAGTTTGGGGAGAAATGGCGCTGGAGAGGCTGGAGGGAGATGAGCATTTTTCCGCTCTCGCGGTGATTTGCGTGCATTTCAGTGTACGTTCAGTTCCAACTCACGACCATAAAAAAAAACAAAACCTTATTAATTAAATCACTAGGCAGAGGAAACCGACTTTGTTTCGCTGGAGGGCGTGGGATGCTGGTCTCCCTGCTTCGAGGGAGAGCTGGGAGGCCTGGCTCCCAGCTGGTGTCCTCAGTTTTCTGGCCTGTCTGGGGGAGACCTTTGGCCTCACCGACTTGTAGAACACTTCCCCTCAAGGGTCTTATGGTTCTGTTCACTGTAATGAATGAGAGGCCTGCCCGAGTTCTGGGGAAGCATCTAATCCATGTACCCGAGCGGCAGCTGACAGATGACATGTGATCCTTAGTTCCAGTTGCTTGGGACAGGATTGGCTCCTGAGAGGCCTCTGCACATGGGCAACTGGCCCAGGATTACAGGAAGCAGGATGATTTGGGGGGCACTCTGTAGCCCAGTGAACTGGGCCCTCTGTTTTGATCATTTTGGTCTAGCATCTAGCACATGGTGTTCAAGACCCAAAAACAATTTGTGGAAAGAGGGAGGACATAACAGGAGGAAATTCCTTCTTGGAATTCCTTCCTTGGGACAGAATCCTACCTGCCCTCAGCTCAAGTCCTCTTCTCTGTAGCTCACTCGTACTTCCATCAAGTACTTGGACGTGTCTTTAATGGGTTTCGAGCACAGAACAGGGCTGGCTCTTCTCCCGTGGCGGTGGTGTTTCCCGCTGAGAGGGCTCAGTTCCCACATGCCCCTTGAGCACCCGTGCCCTTCCCCTTCCTGGGGGGTATGCTTGGCAGGGGTCAGAGAGGTGATCCTGAGGCTTAGAGACACCCCCCTCCCCCAATCAGGCTTCTAGAAATCTAGACCTGACCCTGGTTTTCAGAATGCTGAGTTTAGCATTTCCTTTACCTGTACAAGGAGGCTGATGGGTGGGTAGGTTGGTGGGGGGGGTCCTCCTGGTAGGGGTGTGGTGAGCATGACTACATCAAGGTGCCCCCAAAACACAGAGACAGATGCCAAGGATAACTATTCTTACCTCATAGCTACCTTGAAGTTGAGTTTCACAGGAAAAGAGTATTGAAGTATTTAACCTTTATATTTAAGTGTGGAATGAAAAAGGTGGCTTCCCTTTATAGGAATTTGAAGTCTTAGAGGTCAGCTGGTGCTGTGGACTGCATGCAGGTTCGTGTCCCCAGCCCCCCACCCCCAAAGTTCATATGTTAAAAATCTAATCCTCAATGGGATGGTGATAGGAGATGGAGCTTTTGGGGGGTGATTAGGTTAAGAAAGTGGAGCCCTCCTGAATAGGTTTAGTGCCCTTAGAGAAGAGACCCCACAGAGCTCCCTCACTCCTTCCACCATGTGAGGAGGACATAGCAAGAAGGCACCATCTTTGAATCAGGAAGCAGGTTCTCACCAGGCAGCGAATCTCCTGGTGCCTGGATCTTGGATTTCCCAGCTTCCAGAACTGTGAGCAATAAGTGTTTGTTATTAAGAATCTTCCTAGTCTATGGTATTTTGTTATAACAGCCCAAATGGCCTAAGCCACAGCCCTACCAAACTAATACAATAACTTTATTTCCAAGGGAAGCAGATTACAATGAAATCCCTCAGAGACTATTAAGTGTGTGTGTGTGTGTGTGTGTGTGTGTGTGATATGAGCATGTGGCAGCAGCATTTCAGCGTCATATGCACAGACATCCTTTGTCATCCTCTAAGTCATCTGGGGAAGGAATCAGATAAACTTGGAGAACTTCAAGTTCCAGGTTCTGTTTCTAGCCTTAGAATGCTCAAAGGCCTCCCCAGCTGTTCTGTGTTCGGATGTGGCTTTCAAGAGGTGGGAGGGTGGTTGGAGCTGCTCCTGGATGTCTCTGAGCCTCTTGAAGAGCACTCTGAGTGCATGAGAAAACATCTCTTAACTGCCTACAGCAGATGCCATGCACTGAAGACCACTGGCAAAGCAGGAATTAGAAAGAAGAATTCTGAGCCCAGAAGTAAACCCTCATGTATGTGATCAACTAATATTTGGTGAGCGAGCCAAGAACACCCAATGGGGAAAGGATAGTCTTCAACAAAGGTGTTTGGAAAACTGGATAAGCACATGCAGAAAAATGAAATTGGACTGCTATCTTCCACCACTCTCAAAAATTAACTCAAAATGGATCATAAGACCCAGAGCTAAAATTCCCAGAAGAAAACATAGGGGAGAAACTCCTTGACATCGGTCTTGGCAATAGTTTTTTGGGATATGCACAAATGAAAACAAAGCAAAACTCGACAAGTAGGACTGCATCAAACTAAAAACTTCTGCACAGCAAAGGAAACAGTTGACAATATGGAAAGACAACCAACAGAATGGGACAAGACGTTTGCAAACCATGCATCTGATAAGGGGTTAATATCCACAATTTATAAAGGATTCATACAACTCAATGACCCAAAAAATCCCCTAAACAATCTCATTAAAAAATGGGCAGAGGAACTAAAGAGATGTTTTTCCAAAGAAGACATCCAAATGGTCAGCAGGTACATGAAAAGATGCCCAGTGTCATTCATCATCAGGGAAATGCAAATCAAAACCACAATGAGATATCAGCTCACACCTGTCAGAATGGCTAGTATCAAGAAGACAAGAGATAACAAGTGTTGGTGAGGATGTGGGGAAAAGGGAACCCTTGTGCACTGTTGGTGGGAATGTAAATTGGTTCAGCTACTGTGGCGGTTCCTCAAGAAAATTAAAAATACAGTATGATTCAGCAATTCCATTTCTGGGTATATACCCAAGAGAAATGAAGAGGATATTGAAGAGGTATACACAATCCCAGTATTTATTGTAACATTATTAACAATAGTCAAGATATGGAAACAAGCTATGTGCCTGTCAACAGATGAATTGGTAAAGAGCCCCCCCTCCCCCCACACACAGAGTGGAATATTATTCTACATGAGAAAGAAGGAAATCCTGCCATTTTCGACAACATGGATGGACCTTGAGGACATTATGCTAAGTGAGATAAGTCAGAGAAAGACACATACTGTATAATATCACTTATTTGTGGAATATAAAAGGGCCAAACTCATGCAAACACAGTAAAAAGTTGGTTACCAGGGGTTGGGGGTGGGGTGGGGGAATAGGAGAGAGGTTATTTAAGGGTACAAACTTGCTACTAGCAGGTAAATGAGTCCTGGAGACCTAATAAGATGGTATAGTGAATATAGGCAACAATATTGTATTACATTTATCAAGCTTGCTAAGAGACTAGATCTTAATTGTTCCTACCACAAAAAAGAAATGATAATTATGTGACACCATAGAGGTGCTAAATACAACAGCAATCATATTACAATATATAAATGTATCAAATCAACATGTTGTATGCTTTAAACTTGCATAATATTACATGTCAAACGTATGTCAAATGTATTTCAATAAAAAAGGAGCATTCCGTACACTTGGCATATAGCCCCCAAAGTATAGAAATCCAGGGCCCTCACTCTCCCCCTGAACTGTGACCCTGACAGTTCTCCAGGAGCTCAGCACCCCAGCCATCTCCCAGTCCCCAGAGACACTGCCCACCATGGTGGATTCACATGCTGTCCCTGCTCCAGCTTCTTGGGACCCTCAATATATAGGTCTTAGTCTGGTGACAGGAGCAGTGGGGATGCAATCGTTCTGAGGTTGAAGAATTTCATTCACTGTACAACAAATGTTTGTTGTGCATCTGCCTTGTATAAGACAAGTGTGATACACTTTTATATTTATTCCATTGAGTCCATGTGATAATCCTGTGAGATAGTAATTCCCTTCACCATTTAAGAGATGAGGAAACCAAGGCGCAGAGGGGCAAAGAACACAGCAGGAGAGGGGCCAGGTGGCTCTGGAATATCCATCCTCTGACATCAAGGGTAGTTTGTATAGATCACCTCGCATGTTACTGCAGTGTTCAGGTGCTCAAATATTTGCTTTGCTCCCTTTTTCCTTTGCAATCTGCATTGTAGACTGTGTCCCTGGGTCCTTGAGTGTAGAGCCTGTGGTTGGGAGGAGCTGGGAGACTGTAACCTGGGGTAGGGTTCCAGGGAGAGTGGCCAGGTTTAGCAAATAAAAATGCAAGACGCCCAGTTAGATTTGAATTGAATTTCAGATAAACAATGAATATTTTCATTTTAATATAACTATGTCCCATACAATTTTTAGGATATACTTATGCTAAAAAAGTATTCCCTTGTTTATTTAAAATTCAAATTTAACTCTAGTTCCCAGTGAGGCTTGCAGTTGATCTAATGTTGAAGAAGTCTCCATTTGCAGAGGCTGGGACTGGATTCAGCTTTGCTCTTGAGCTCTGTGGGCTCTCCAAGCTCTTTCTGAAATCAGCCTCACCATCTACACTCAAGGTTACAAACTGGCAACTTGGGCAAAATCTAACCTAGCCATGTTTTGTTTGGCTGGCATGATGTTGATTTTTTTTTATGATTTATTTATTTATTTGAGGTGGACGGGGTGGGGGGTGCCAGAGAGAGAGAGAGAGAATCTCAATAAGACTCCCGCTGAGCATGGATCCCAATGTAGGGGTCCATCTCACAACCCTGAGATCATGACCTGAGCCAAAATCAAGAGTCAGAGGCTCAACCAACTGAGCCACCCAGGCGCTCTGGGCATGATGTTGACTTTTTAAAAGTTGGTCAATTTTTGGGCGCCTGGGTGGCTCAGATGGTTAAGCATCTGCCTTCGGCTCAGGTCATGATCCCAGACTCCTGGGATTGAGTCCCACATTGGGCTCCCTGCTCAGCGGGGAGCCTGCTTCTCCCTCTGCCTCTCTCTCTCTGTCTCTTATGAATAAATAAATAAAATCTTAAAAAAAGAATTGGTCAATTTTTGAAAACCAGGAGTTTCTACATACAAATCTAAATGACATCCTTTTAAAATTTTATTTTAATTCCCGTGTAGTTAACATTCAGTGTTAGTTTCAGGTGTAGAGATTAGTGATTCAACAATTCCATACATCACCCTGTGCTCATCACAAGTGTGACTCCTTAATCCCCATCACCTCTTTCACCCAGCACCACCCCCTCCAGTAACCATCCATTTTTTCTCTATAGTTAAGAGTTTGTTTCTTGGTTTGACTCTCTTTTTTCCTCCTTTACTTATTTTGTTTCTTAAATTCCTCATATGAGTGAAATCATATGGTATTTGTCTTTCTCAGACATACTTATTTCACTTAGCATTATGCTCTATCCATGTTGTTGCAAATGACAAGATTTCATTCTTTTTTATGGCTGAATAATACTCTGTTGTATATATATACCACATCTTCTTTATCCATTCATCTATTGATGGACACTTGGGCTGCTTCCATAATTTGGCTATTGTAAGTAATGCTACTAAAAGCTCAGGGGTGCATGTATCCCTTTGAATTAGTGTTTTTGTATTTTTTGGGTAAATACCCAGTAGTGTGGTTACTGGATTATAGAGTAGTTCTACTTTTAACTTTTTAAAAAAAATTTATTATTTATTTAAACAAAAGATTTTTATTTTTGAGTAATCTCTACACCCAACATGGGGCTCAAACTCACAACCCTGAGATCAAGAGTTGTATGCTCTACCCACTGAGCCAGCCAGGTGCCCACCCCCAACCCCACCTTTTTTTAAAGACAGGTGCCCCCTTGGGGTGCTTGGTTGGCTCATTCAGTTAAGTGTCCAACTCTTGATTTTGGCTCAGGTCATGATCTCAAAGTCATGAGATCGAGCCCTGCCTGGGATTCTGAGCTGAGTGTGGAGCCTGCTTAAGATTCTCTCTCTCCCTCTGCCCCCCAGCCCCTACCCCCACCCTCTCTCTTTCTCAAAAAAAAATTTAAAGGCAGGCACCCCCTATTTTTAACTTTTTGAGGAACCTCCATACCATTTTCCACAGTGGTTCCACATCCTCACCAATACTTGTTGTTTCCTGTGTTTTTTATTTTAGCCATTCTGACAGGTGTAAGGTGATATCTCATTGTAGTTTTGATTTGCATTTCCCTGATGATCAGTGATGTTGAACATCTTTTCATGTGTCTCTTGGCCATCTGGATGTCTTTGAACAAATATCTGTTCATTTCTTTGCCCATTTTTAATTGGATTATTTGTTTTCTGGATGTTGATTGGTATTAGTTCTTTATATATTTGGATACTAATCCTTTATTGAATATGTCATTTGCAGATATCTTCTCCCATTCAGTAGGTTGCCTTTTAGTTTTGTTGATTGTTTCCTTCACTGTGCAGAAGGTTTTCATTTTGATATAGTCCCAATAGCTTATTTTTGCTTTTATTTCCCTTGCCTCAGGAGACATACCTGGAAAAATGTTGCTATGGCTGATGTCAGAGAGATTACTGCCTGTGGTCTCTTCTAGGATTTTCATGGTTTCAGGTTTTTAGGTCCTTCGTCCATTTTGAGTTTATTTTTTGTGTATGGTATAAAAGCAAGTGGTCCAGTTTTATTCTTTCGCATATAGCCGATCAGTTTTCCTAACACCTATTGTTGAAGAGACTGTCTTTTTCCCATTGGATATTCTTTCCTGTTTTGTCAGAGATTAATTGACCATATAATTGTGGGTTTATTTCTTGTTTTTCTATTCTGTACCGTTGATCTATGTGTCTGCTTTTGTCCCAGTACCATACTGTTTTGATCACTACAGCTTTGTAATATAATTTGAAGTCTGGAATTGTGCTACCTCCAGCTTTGCTTTTCTTTTTCAAAATTGCTTTGGCTATTCAGAGTCTTTAAAAATATGGAATGCTTCAGGCGCCTGGGTGGCTCAGTCGTTAAGCGTCTGCCTTCGGCTCAGGTCATGATCCCAGGGTCCTGGGATTGAGTCCCACACC